GGATCTCTTTGGTCGTTCACGCTGAAGTCCGTTCCTTTTAATTCCCTGCCGCGGCTTTTCACCTGTTCTTTTTGTTTGAAGTGGATCTCTTTGGTCGTTCACGCTGAAGTCCGTTCCTTTTAATTCCCTGCCGCGGCTTTTCACCTGTTCTTTTTGTTTGAAGTGGCCGAATTTGGCCACAATAGGACGTGTCTCAATTTTGGCCGGGGAAGATGCACTCTGAGCCTTCTTCATGACTAAATCTTGGAAACAGCGGTCGATGTAATCTTGGAGAGCGTCTAAATTCTCCCCGTTGTCCTCCAGGGTGTTAGGGTTAGGACAGATGTTGTTAGTTATATGACAATTTATTAGTATATTTGGTAATACTGAAGCTTAAAGAAACTTTGTTCAATTCTAAACTACCATTCGCTTTAATTTTCTGCCAAAATCTTCTGGGTCTGACGTCAGTTACAGCATGAGTCGCTTACCTTGTACGTCACTTCTGTCAATTACCTCCTCAGTCCGTCACTCCCCACGATAAACTGCTTAGAAGTATCAGGATGGATTAGAATGGGTGCGGATGTAAAAATGTGCTTCAACTTAGCGAAAGCTGAGTGGGCTTCTGGGGGCCAGGTGAAAGGTACCGTAGATGAGGTGAAACAGGTGAGAGGCGCAGCCACTTGGCTGTAGTTCCGAATGAAGTGGCGGTAAAAAGTCCGCGTCCCCAAGGAAGCTTTGAAGCTTTTTCCGTGACTCTGGGACCGGCCATTCCAGCACCCCCTTGACCTTTACTAGGTCGGTCTTCACCTGTCCTCCTGCCAAAATGTAGCCCAAAAAGGAAATAGATGAGGTGTGGAACTCACACTTTTCTGCCTTGACGTATAATCTGTTCTCGAGCAGCCGCTGTAGCACACTCCTTACGTGGACGTGATTCTCTTCAAGGGTCCTGGAGAAAATCAGAATGTCGTCCAGATACACAAAAACAAACAAGTTCAAAAAGTCTCGTAGCACATCATTTACTAGGGCCGGAAAAACCGCTGGGGCATTAGTTAAGGCGAATGGCATTACCAAATATTCAAAGTGCCCTAATGGAGTGTTGAAAGCAGTCTTCCACTCATCACCTTTTCGTATTCGAACTAGGTGATAGGCAATCCGTAGGTCCAACTTCGTAAAAACTGTGGCTTCCTGGAGAGACTCGAAAACAGAGTTGATTAATGGGAGAGGGTATTTATTTTTTACAGTAACATCGTTCAAACCTCGATAATCGATACACGGCCACAGCGACCCATCCTTCTTTCATACAAAGAAGAAGCCCGCAGCAACTGGGGAGAAAGAAGGTCTAATTATTCCTGCTGCCAGCGACTTCTGGATGTAGTTCTCCATATATTCTCTCTCAGGACGAGACAGGTTATACAGTCTACTAGAGGGCAACGGGGCTTCCGGAAGTAAGTCAATAGTGCAATCGTATGGTCGGTGAGGCGGTAGAGAGCGAGCCTTGTCTTTATTGAACACTTCCTGTAAATCATGATACTCTGGAGGGAAGGTCTGGTGTTTGTGACAGGGGTGGAGCTCGATCTGCTGTTGCAGTGGGAATGGCTGACCTCAAACAGTTCGCCAAGCAAAACAGGCTCCAGCTGGTGATTTTTTTTACCTGGTCCAATCAATGTGAGCATTATGTCTCTGCAACCAGGGGGTGAGTAAAAATTTTTTTAGTACATCATGGACGAGGGCTTGGAATACTACCAGGGAAGTCGAGAGTTGGATCATGCCAGCCACTAGTGATTCCTGAATGTATTCCTCCATTGCCTCCCTCTCTGGCCTAGGAAGATTGTATAGTGGACTGGAGGGGAGAGCAGCACCAGAGAGGAGGTTAATAGCACAATCATAGGGATGATGTGGTGGCAGAGAAAGAGCCTTTTCCTTACTGAAGACCATTCTGAGGTCATGGTACTCCTCGAGGACCAGAAATAGATCTAAGATGGTTGTGTACAGCACCAGGAGCTGGAAACTGAGAGTAGAGCTGATTGCAAACAGAGAGAGTGACACGTTAAAATCCAGTTAAGTATTTGCTAGCAGTCCAGTCCAGGTGGGAGTTCTGATTTTTCAACCAGGGAAAACCAAAGATAAGGGATGGAAACATTAAGAGAGTTATTGTTTCCCAATGGTTGGCCGATGTGATTAGCTGCACGGGCTTGGTTTTGTGAGTGATATAGGCAAAACCTTGAGTGGAGGCCGGAATGGGAGGCTTGAGAGGCACCAAGGGAAACCTTGCTGTCGGGCTAGATCCATGTCTATTAAATTTTTCTCACAACCGGACTCCACGAATGCTTGGAGAGAATGAGAGGTCTGATGGTATTTGAGCTTCACAGGGAGGGAGATGGAGTTTAGCTGCACCTGAAACGCCCACCAGTACCCCCAAATTTCAGGTGCCAATGAAATGCCCTGGCCGATCACAGCACAAACTCCCATGCAGGAAAACGCCTCTCTCTCCTACGGAGTGAGCCTGGATTGCCCGATTTGCATGGGCTCAGCAGGCTCCTTTGGTAACGGGAACAGGGTACTGGAGGGCGGACACACAACTCAAAGTACTTTGATGTGATGGTGAATTTATTTACAGGTGCACAGCGGGAGAATATGTGAGGTTTCAACTTATTTGCAAATGTGCGGAGAAAGTCTATGGGAGGTTTCCCACGGGGCAGCAAGTCTGAAATGAGGAAGAGGCAGAGAGAAGAACATGCGAGATGCGCTGCCCAGAGTGGGATGTGACAGTAGAGTCACATCCCACTGTCACATCCCAATGACCCTTTGTTGTCATTGTACATGCAATGAAATTATGGAGGCTCCACAGCATCAGTGCAGGACTAAAATATAAATAGTAAGACAGCAGGCATAAATAACAAATAGGAGAATAATAATAATGGATTGGATTTATATAGTGCTTTTCAAGGCACCCAAAGCGCTTTACAATGTCACTATTCATTCACTCTCACATTCACACACTGGTGGAAGCAGCTACAGTTGTAGCCACAGCTGCCCTGGGGCAGACTGACAGAAGCGAGGCTGCCATATCGTGCCATCGGCCCCTCTGGCCATCACCAGTAGGCGGTTAGGGTAAAGTGTCTTGCCCAAGGACACAACGACCAGGACAGAGAGCCCGGGGATCGAACCGGCGACCTTCCGGTTACAGATACGCTTCCCAACCCCCTGAGCCACGGTCACCCCAATAAATGTATACAAAGCAAGAGAAAAGCACATATTGGAGAACAAAGTGCTTGGAAGAGGTGCAAAGCACTTGCTCTGAGTTTAGAGTCCACATGTGAGTGTTCTGAGTGATCAGGGTACTCAGATTAGTGAGGTGAGTGGGCAGGGGTGGGTTGGGGGGGAGTGTTTCTTAAAAGTCCGAATGGCCCAGGGGAATAAACTTTTAGTCTGTCTGTAGGCGTGGGACCCGATTGACCTGAGGTGCTGACCAAACGGGAGCGGGTCAGACAGGTGGTGGGCGGGGTGCAAGGGGTCACCTGTAATGACCTTGTTTTTCTTGAGACAGGAGGAGCTGGCAAAGGCCTCTAAGGGTGGCTGATGTCAGCCAACTTGACCAGTATTAATTACCCTCTGTGTTGCCTTCCTGTTGTCAGTAGTGGCCCCTGTGTACTAAAGACCCAGCCAGTAGAAGCGCATGCTCTCCACTGAGGAGTGGTAGAAGTCCAGCAGGAGCTTCTGGCCCAGGTTATTCTTCCTCAGGACATGAAGGGCCCCCATCAGGGCCTTGCGAGCCTGTACTGGTGTTTTTAAAAGTTATGTTTGACTTTATGACTTTCTGTGTCGTTTCTGGGATGCTTAGGACTCATATTGCACTGCTGGAAATAGTTTATTTTGATGCATATGCTGTTTTTTTTTGCAAATTTGCATTATAATATTTATTTTCGTTTTTCCTGCAGTATATAAAAATTGGTGTATTTCAAAAATAAAAGTATGAAGGTGGGAAACTATTTTGTGCAACTTTTTTGTATTTACAGTTTTGAGGGATAAGCCTCTTAAATTTCTCTAACTAGAAATATATGTTAAAAAAACAAAAAACGATTTTCAATTTTTTTGTAGTTTATTGCACTTTTTTTAAATTTATGTAATTACTATGCACGTAATGCATACATATTATTAAAATTTGGGCTATAATAGTTGTATTGATGTATATTGTTAAGGGTTCAAATATTGAGGAGGGATACAGGAGGAAATCCAAATAACAACACTGATTCGGCCGGGTGGAGTCAAACGATGATTTTAATGAACACACGTGTATGCAATTCTTCCATAGCTCTAGGCCACTTTGCTCAATAGATCGCGCCAGACAAAGCTTCTGACCATCAATTAACTGACCGAGCTTCAACTCTTTAATAAGCACCAAAATGCAATGTGCATAAAATGATTACAGTTGCTCCTGCCATGAAAGAATATTCCATGATTATGATACCACCTGTAATACAGACTTTAATGTAATGTTAACAGCTTCAATAAATGCTTTAATGCAATGCTGATTAATGCAATGATAAAGATGATGGTTATGAACAGTAGCAGTAAAATAATTTCCCTGATCCCCACAGAACCTACAGTATTACTAGGTTTTAACAGTTTTACAATTTAGGCTTAACAACATTGCCCAGTGGAGCATTATGGAGCTAGTTTTAGAATATTGTCTTGTGGGATGATGCATCAACTCATTCAGGCTACAGTCATACTCTCTTTACCTTCAAAAGTGCTTTAGGTAAACGCCTTCTTTACATACATTACAGGTTATCTAAAGGTAAGTTATAAAAATTAAGTTATCTCATACTATCTGTGTCTGTTTCTCTTTTTTAGCGTTCTAAAATCGCCTTGTTTGACAAGATGTGGCAGCACATGAAAAACGCAGAACCTTCAGTTTTTGTCAAGAAAACATCAGAGGGTGTCCAGCGTGTCAGGAAATCCAAGGGAAAGTACGCTTACCTGCTGGAGTCCACCATGAATGAGTACATCGAGCAGAGGAAACCCTGTGACACAATGAAAGTTGGAGGAAACCTGGACTCAAAAGGCTATGGCATCGCCACACCAAAAGGATCCCCATTAAGGTGGGTGGATCAGTATAACAATGCTGGCCAACCTGCACTGCCATGTACCATTCACACTACTAACCTGCTGCCTAGCATACCATCCCTCTCCTAATTCCTACAGTTCTTCTCTCTGTATATGTAGATGAAAGAGAAAATCATGCTACACTACTTTGAGCTTTAAAGAGATCCAGATTTTTCCTAAACTCAGTAACTTGAAGTCACAGTAATAACCCTGGCTGACAAACTGCTTGTTATCAGGTGGTAATTAGCCAGTGTTCAAGCTGTCCCTGTGCCTATACACATAACTCACTACGGAGAGCAGATAGATTCATCCCAAGGCTTACTGCCAGCTGGGTGTCGCAGTATGCGAGTGTGATGAATGGGACACGGCGGTTAACTCGTTGTTATAATAATCCACCTACCCTGATGACACCATCTCAGTGGTTTGTATTTATTACCATGGTTACCACCTCTGACCAATGGCTAGCGGTGGTTTCCATGACAAATGGGGGATAGGGTGTTTGATTTGCTTCCAGGTCTTAAAGAACCCCTTCAGATAGGCTCCTTTTATCTTGAAAATAAATGTGATGACATTTATAGTGTAAAACATTCTAAACAAACCTGTGAATGTCAAATTAAAGTGTCTTCATATTCTGTTTGATTTTTTTTTTTAAGTGTTAGTTATTATTTTTGGCTGCAGGCTTTTCTCCATTGATAACTTGGCTCTTTAAGACCTGGATCAAGGGATTTTTGCAAAGTTTATGACCTAATGCTGCATTCCATTTGAAGTTGGAATTTGCAATTTGCATGTGTGTGTTTGCGTCTGTCTGAGTGTGTACACATGTGTGTGTGTGTATGTGTGTGTGTGTGTCTGTCTGTTGGGAGGAGGGAGGGCACTATATGTCACCATAAAATGTTTAAATTACATACGGACAGTTATACATAAATTAGCTTCCCCCTACATTCCCTCAGAGCTGTCTCTTATTTTTTTAATATGTGAAAGTAGTAGTAGTTTTATATTTTTCTTTTATCTCATGCAATTGCGCAAGAATTTACATACATGTTTACACATGCAGATTAATAGCCTTTTTTTTTTAAATTGCTACAGAAAATACAACAAATTTACATTCATAAATAAACAACATTTAGCCCTTTATATAGACCTATCTAAAGTGGCCCTTAAGAAATAGCTTAAATAAGAAGAATGGTATATAGCTCAACAATATTTGTGTCATATATATGAGAAAAAATATGTACACTTCAGAATCAACAAAGCAAAATCAGAACGGAACACTTTAATAAATGTAGCAAAAAAAAAATCAGATGGTATTAAGTGGATTAGCAACAGTGTTGGGGAGTAACGGAATACATGTACCGCCGTTACGTATTTAAAATACAAAATATGAGTAACTGTATTGCGTTACAGTTACCGTTTTAAAAGGTGGTATTCAGAATACAGTTACTTTGTTGAAATGAATGGATTACATGGCTGTATTTTCCTGTTTCATTAGGCTATGAACTCTATATTTTTGGTGTCCACGCCGGTGGAAACCCAAACAAAACACGCATTAAGAGGCTCTCATGTCTGTGTCTCAATCTCACGGCCGATGTCACCTCTACTTGTAGCCCACATAATGACGTGAAGAAATATTTAAAAAAATTATTCACAAAAATGATTTAATATGAAGGCAATTGGCAGAGTGTTACAGGCATAGCCCTAAAGAATCTAGCCTCATGGGCAGTGTAGTCCGTGCTGCAGGGAGAATGGACTGCCATACCCGTTATGTGTCTGTGAACGAGGAAGGGAGAAAAAGAGTTGAAAAGTAAGAGATGTCACGGACCAAAAACGGGAGATGGAAGCATGTAAATATTTTTATATATATATGTAAGATGTATTATATTTTATAGGCAATAATTCACCCTGTTTGTTTACTAAACATGGTTTAGTTTAACTTACTGACAATGAAACTCTTACAAACACATATGCGGTAAGGCCAGCCATAAAAATACACCTGTCCACAACTGTCAAATTATTGTGATATCACAATTGCAGGGTGATCTACTAACAATGCACTGTATTGTACAGGGTGGGCCATTTATATGGATACACCGTAATAACATGGGAGTGGTTGGTGATGTTAAAGTCCTGTTTGTGGCACATTAGTATATGTGAGGGGGCAAACTCCTCAAGATGGGTGGTGACCATGGTGGCCATTTAGAAGTCGGCCATCTTGGATACAACTTTTGTTTTTTCAATAGGAACAGGGCCATGTGACACATCAGACTTATTGGCAATGTCACAAGAAAAACAATGGTGTGCGTGGTTTCAACGTAACTTTATTCTTTCATGAGTTATTTACAAGTTTCTGACCACTTATAAAATGTGTT